GAAGAGGCACAGAGAAGCTACGTTACTGCGGTAGGAAAGTGACTGAAGCCGAGATGCCAGGTCAGGACCAATAATATTGTTGATTATTCTTTGGATTTTATAAAGAATCTCTAAATATATAACAGGGGCACCTTTCCCTTACAATCTCACTCAATAACCATCATATAGAAGAGGCACAGAGAAGCTACGTTACTGCGGTAGGAAAGTGACTGAAGCCGAGATGCCAGGTCAGGACCAATAATATTGTTGATTATTCTTTGGATTTTATAAAGAATCTCTAAATATATAACAGGGGCACCTTTCCCTTACAATCTCACTCAATAACCATCATATAGAAGAGGCACAGAGAAGCTACGTTACTGCGGTAGGAAAGTGACTGAAGCCGAGATGCCAGGTCAGGACCAATAATATTGTTGATTATTCTTTGGATTTTATCAAGAATCTCTAAATATATAACAGGGCACCTTTCCTTCCAATCTCATATCAATAACCATCATATAGAAGAGGCACAGAGAAGCCTTTACGTTACTGCGGTAGGAAAGTGACTGAAGCCGAGATGCCAGGTCAGGACCAATAATATTGTTGATTATTCTTTGGATTTTATCGAGAATCTCTAAATATATAACAGGGGCACCTTTCCTTCCAATCTCACTCAATAACCGTCATATAGAAGAGGCACAGAGAAGCTACGTTACTGCGGTAGGAAAGTGACTGAAGCCGAGATGCCAGGTCAGGACCAATAATATTGTTGATTATTCTTTGGATTTTATCAAGAATCTCTAAATATATAACAGGGGCACCTTTCCCTTCCAATCTCACTCAATAACCATCATATAGAAGAGGCACAGAGAAGCTACGTTACTGCGGTAGGAAAGTGACTGAAGCCGAGATGCCAGGTCAGGACCAATAATATTGTTGATTATTCTTTGGATTTTATCAAGAATCTCTAAATATATAACAGGGACACCATTCCCTTCCAATCTCACTCAATAACCATCATATAGAAGAGGCACAGAGAAGCTACGTTACTGCGGTAGGAAAGTGACTGAAGCCGAGATGCCAGGTCAGGACCAATAATATTGTTGATTATTCTTTGGATTTTATCAAGAATCTCTAAATATATAACAAGAGCACCTTTCCCTTACAATCTCACTCAATAACCATCATATAGAAGAGGCACAGAGAAGCTACGTTACAGGGGCGGTAGGAAAGTGACTGAAGCCGAGATGCCAGGTCAGGACCAATAATATTGTTGATATTCTTTGACTTTGGATTTTTTATTAAGAATCTCTAAATATATAACAGGGACACCTTTCCTTCAATCTCACTCAATAACCATCATATAGAAGAGGCACAGAGAAGCTACGTTACTGCGGTAGGAAAGTGACTGAAGCCGAGATGCCAGGTCAGGACCAATAATATTGTTGATTATTCTTTGGATTTTATCAAGAATCTCTAAATATATAACAGGGGCACCTTTCCCTTCCAATCTCACTCAATAACCATCATATAGAAGAGGCACAGAGAAGCTACGTTACTGCGGTAGGAAAGTGACTGAAGCCGAGATGCCAGGTCAGGACCAATAATATTGCTGATTATTCTTTGGATTTTATCAAGAATCTCTAAATATATAACAGGGGCACCTTTCCCTTCCAATCTCACTCAATAACCATCATATAGAAGAGGCACAGAGAAGCTTTGTTACGGCGGTAGGAAAGTGACTGAAGCCGAGATGCCAGGTCAGGACCAATAATATTGCTAATTCTTCTTTGGATTTTACCTAGAATCTCTAAATATATAACAGGGACACCTTTCCTTCCAATCTCACTCAATAACCATCATATAGAAGAGGCACAGAGAAGCTACGTTACTGCGGTAGGAAAGGACTGAAGCCGAGATGCCAGGTCAGGACCAATAATATTGTTGATTATTCTTTGGATTTTATAAAGAATCTCTAAATATATAACAGGGGCACCTTTCCCTTACAATCTCACTCAATAACCATCATATAGAAGAGGCACAGAGAAGCTACGTTACTGCGGTAGGAAAGTGACTGAAAAGCCGAGATGCCAGGTCAGGACCAATAATATTGTTGATTATTCTTTGGATTTTATCAAGAATCTCTAAATATATAACAGGGGCACCTTTCCCTTCCAATCTCACTCAATAACCATCATATAGAAGAGGCACAGAGAAGCTACGTTACTGCGGTAGGAAAGTGACTGAAGCCGAGATGCCAGGTCAGGACCAATAATATTGTTGATTATTCTTTGGATTTTATCGAGAATCTCTAAATATATAACAGGGGCACCTTTCCCTTCCAATCTCACTCAATAACCGTCATATAGAAGAGGCACAGAGAAGCTACGTTACTGCGGTAGGAAAGTGACTGAAGCCGAGATGCCAGGTCAGGACCAATAATATTGTTGATTATTCTTTGGATTTTATCAAGAATCTCTAAATATATAACAGGGCACCTTTCCTTCCAATCTCACTCAATAACCATCATATAGAAGAGGCACAGAGAAGCTACGTTACGGCGGTAGGAAAGTGACTGAAGCCGAGATGCCAGGTCAGGACCAATAATATTGTTGATTATTCTTTGGATTTTATCAAGAATCTCTAAATATATAACAGGGACACCATTCCCTTCCAATCTCACTCAATAACCATCATATAGAAGAGGCACAGAGAAGCTACGTTACTGCGGTAGGAAAGTGACTGAAGCCGAGATGCCAGGTCAGGACCAATAATATTGTTGATTATTCTTTGGATTTTATCAAGAATCTCTAAATATATAACAGGGACACCATTCCTTCCAATCTCACTCAATAACCATCATATAGAAGAGGCACAGAGAAGCTACGTTACTGCGGTAGGAAAGTGACTGAAGCCGAGATGCCAGGTCAGGACCAATAATATTGTTGATTATTCTTTGGATTTTATCAAGAATCTCTAAATATATAACAAGAGCACCTTTCCCTTACAATCTCACTCAATAACCATCATATAGAAGAGGCACAGAGAAGCTACGTTACGGCGGTAGGAAAGTGACTGAAGCCGAGATGCCAGGTCAGGACCAATAATATTGTTGATTATTCTTTGGATTTTATTAAGAATCTCTAAATGTATAACAGGGACACCTTTCCCTTACAATCTCACTCAATAACCATCATATAGAAGAGGCACAGAGAAGCTACGTTACTGCGGTAGGAAAGTGACTGAAGCCGAGATGCCAGGTCAGGACCAATAATATTGTTGATTATTCTTTGGATTTTATCAAGAATCTCTAAATATATAACAGGGCACCTTTCCTTCCAATCTCACTCAATAACCATCATATAGAAGAGGCACAGAGAAGCTACGTTACTGCGGTAGGAAAGTGACTGAAGCCGAGATGCCAGGTCAGGACCAATAATATTGCTGATTATTCTTTGGATTTTATCAAGAATCTCTAAATATATAACAGGGGCACCTTTCCCTTACAATCTCACTCAATAACCATTATATAGAAGAGGCACAGAGAAGCTACGTTACGGCGGTAGGAAAGTGATTGAAGTCGAGATGCCAGGTCAGGACCAATAATATTACTGATTATTCTTTGGATTTTATCAAGAATCTCTAAATATATAACAGGAGTACCTTTCCCTTACAATCTCACTCAGTAACCATCATATAGAAGAGGCACAGAGAAGCTACGTTACGGCGGTAGGAAAGTGACTGAAGCTGAGATGCCAGGTCAGGACCAATAATATTGCTGATTCTTCTTTGGATTTTATCAAGAATCTCTAAATATATAACAGGAGCACCTTTCCCTTACAATCTCACTCAATAACCATCATATAGAAGAGGCACAGAGAAGCTACGTTACGGCGGTAGGAAAGTGACTGAAGCCGAGATACCAGGTCAGGACCAATAATATTGCTGATTATTCTTTGGATTTTATCAAGAATCTCTAAATATATAACAGGAGCACCGGACCATATGTGTTCTTGTACCACATTTTTGTATTATTCAAACTAAATATTACTCTCTACTATGGTACGTAGACTTTATGAATTTAAATGCAGTATTAGATTGGCAATAAAGTTTCATCAATTTATAATTGAATTGGCTGGTTGTAACTGTAAGTTCTATGCTAACAGTTCCTTTTCTCGCACTTCTTGTTTGCAGAACTATCTTCCGGTTTCTAGCTAACTTTGATCTTCAAAAATTGAAATGCAATGCCAATCGCTATCTACTGTGTTCTTGATTTCTCTTCTTCTATTGCTCTCGTTCCTTAATAATGTCTCTCTTTTTTCTTATTCTTTCACTGAGTAACCTCTTGCGTCTTAGTGGCTTTACTACCTTACTTGGGCTGAATGATTGAAAACATAGCCAGTTAAATTCTGGCAAAAAGATTTTCTATTATTTTTTTCTTAAACCATCAGAAATAAAAAGAATTTAATTATTTCTTCATTCTACAATCATCGCTAAACTTATCTTTTTGGTTTGTTTTGTTTGTTTAACGACATATCAACATTTTATGGGTCATTTAATGCCAAAATTTAATTTTCTTGGGGCCATTAGTAATGTATTGCCTGTAATTTTTATTTATTTTTTACAAAAATGTATTGCTAGTATTTTTTTTTACAATGAAAATATATTGCTGTTATTTTTACTATAAAAAAGTATTTTTATACTTTCATTGTATTTTGAACCCAGTTTGGTAGTTAACGATTTGCATATAGATGGGACCCTAACAGGTGCTACCAAGCCCGTGTCATAGTAGACCTGGGAACAAAAGCAATTAAGAGGTGGTTCCACGCTCCTCAAAATTTCCGAATCTCCCGATCTTGCTACCGGATGTAGTTTATCGTTATACCCAGGAACTCACTAAACTGATACCTGTTAATTTACTATTGATTTAGACTAAATGTGTGTTGAGATATGTCACTAATCCTTTTAAAAATCTCACTTTTTTTTTTTTCAGGTACATCCAAGATGGTTCTGAGGTCACCATGGACAGTTTCTCTCTAACCCTAACTGACGGGATCCATCGTGTTACAAAAGATATCAACATTGATATTGTCCCAATTGACGATCAAGCCCCTCGACTGCGAGACGGTCTCAAACCGCACCTTATTGTCTCCGAGGGAAATGACGCCGTTGTCACCCCTTCGGTCCTGTCAGCCAAAGATGACGACACGGACGATGAGCTGCTTACTTTTCTCATTGTCAAACAACCCAGTCACGGGACCATAAAGGTCAACGGATACCCAGTCACGAAGTTCACACAGCAAAATATCAAAGAAAAGATAGTTAAGTATGATCACATAGGCGGCGAGATTGGCCCAACACCGCAACAAGACAGTGTGACCTTCATTGTCTCAGATCAGAACTATGCATCAGCTGTCGACCTTCCAATCTATGATTTAAACATTACTATAACTCCAGTTGATAATCAGAAACCCGAGATTCTGACTGGGAACCCCATTCTTCTACAAGAAGGTAAAACATTCCAAATCACAATGGAAAACCTAAACGCTCAAGATATAGACACATTACCAAAGAGCATTCGTTTCATGATAGTGAAACAGCCTCAGTGGGGCTACTTGGAAAATACGAAACCAAACCCTGGCTCAGAGAAAAGCAACGCTGGAATACAAATAAATTCTTTTCGCCTGCAAGACGTGATGGACAAATCTATTAACTACGTCCAGAGTAATCACATTGGTGTTGAACCTTTATATGACTCCATAGAACTGTACGCAATGGACGGTAAACTTCATTCGGAGACGAAAACGCTAGCCGTCAATATCGTTCCTACGAATGATGAAATACCTGACGTGATGCTGCAGGACTTTGCCGTTCTTGAAGGTGGCACCAAGATTATCAACCAATCAATTGTCGATGCTATCGATCTCGACGTACCAAAGGACCAGCTGACCTTTTCAATTTCCAAGCCTCCCAAGTTTGGAGAAATTGTTGTAATGTTACAATCAAAGACTGGAGATGTTGAGGCACCGGTGGGGGACTTCTCAATCAAAGAACTCCAGAAGGGAATGCGTCTTAAGTATAAGCACGATGATTCTGAAAACTTCCATGATCGATTTGTTCTTGTGGTCAGTGACGGGAAACACGCAGTTAAGAAAACGTGCAATATTACTATCATACCGGTTAACGATGAGAAACCAAGAATCATGAAAAACAGCGGCCTTAACCTCGGCCATGGTAACTTTGGATTGCTCACAAACCAAATTCTTTTGGCCGAAGATAAAGACACTGACCCTTCGAATCTTAATTACGTTCTGATTTCTCTACCCAAGGTGGGGAGCCTACAATTTCGAACTGAATCCGACTACCCGCCGGTACAGGCGAGATGGTACGACTTCGAAATGGGCGCAAACTTTACTCAGGATGATATCAACAACAGTCGAATACGATATATCCACACCAGCGACGTCACCCAAACAAAAACCGACCGTTTCACTTACGTCTTAACGGATGGAGTCAACAAAGTAGGACCGGATACGTTTGAGTTCCACATAAAGAATTCGCAGACAGCTAAAATCGCTCTACTAAACAAAGGGTTAAAAATCAAAGAAGGCGCTCGAGCGATCCTATCGACGGACATTCTCAGCGCGTCCGACGGCAGCACAAAAGCGGAAGAAATTATCTTCACAATTACCAAAGCCCCTACTCTTGGACAGCTAGAATTTATTAACGCTCCGTTTGTGCCCATTAAGGGCTTCACGCAGCTCGATCTGATCGGACAGCAAGTTGTATATAACCATATTTCGAAAAGTGATATCACTGAGGATTATTTTTCTTTTACGGTCACCAACGGCTTGAAGTACTCCAGAGATGACCAACTTCTTATCTACATAGAGACGCAGGACGAAATGTTACCGACGCTTGAAGTAAACAACCCCATTGAGGTCATTCAAGGATCTGAAGTGACCATAACTACACTGCATTTAAAAATAACTGATCCTGATACATCTGTCCGTAATCTTACGTATAAAATTATCAAACCGCCCATTTACGGCCATCTTTACAACAAAGATGTAGTCATATCCCATTCATTCACCCAGTATGACATCGATCGCGGCTACATTGCGTACGAGAATGATGGGACACATGCTGGTCGTGATCATTTTCTCTTCCTGGTCACAGATGGCCACCACAGTGGCTTCTATACGAACACGTCCGTACAAACGCAGCCAGTCATGTCAAATGTCTTTATAAAGTCCTTGTCTCAAGATGCCCCACAGTTGCAGGTGAACCGGCCACCAGAAAATCTTGAACTATTTGGCAAGGACAGGTACGGATTTAAGCTGAGTAGTGAGTACCTCAAGTCTTTTGACTCCGATACAGACAATTCTCATCTGATGTATATTATTACAAAACGTCCTGAACATGGGCATATTGAAAATACAGCCGCAAAGCGATACGTCCACCGGAAATTCAGACAGAAAGATCTTGATGATAACACTTTGTTGTATATCATCAATCCAAAGTCGGATGCCGTCAATGACAGTTTCAGTTTCCGTTTGGAGGATTTCAATGGAAATACTCTCGATGGCCAGAAGTAAGTGAACAGGCATAAGTTTTTTGTCACCACGATTGTAATTGAAACATCATTTTTTTCTTTCTTTTTCATTTTCTTTTTCCATTTCTTTCTTTTTCCTTTTCTTTTTTCATTTCTTTCTTTTTTGTTTTTCCATTTCTTTCTTTTTCTTTTCTTTCTTTTTCTTTTTTCCATTTCTTTCTTTTTCCATTTCTCTTTTCTTTCTTTTTCCTTTTTCTTTTTTTTTTTTTTTCTTTTCTTTTCTTTCTTTTTGTTTTCCATTTCTTTCTTTTTCTTTTCTTTCTTTTTCTTTTTTCCATTTCTTTCTTTTTCCATTTGTCTTTTCTTTCTTTTTCCTTTTCTTTTTTTATTTCTTTCTTTTTCTTTTCTTTCTTTTTTGTTTTTCCATTTCTTTCTTTTTCTTTTCTTTCTTTTTCTTTTTTCCATTTCTTTCTTTTTCCATTTCTCTTTTCTTTCTTTTTCCTTTTGTTTTTTCATTTCTTTCTTTTTCTTTTCTTTCTTTTTTGTTTTTTTCCATTTCTCTTTTCTTTCTTTTTCCTTTTCTTTTTTCATTTCTTTCTTTTCTTTTCTTTCTTTTTTGTTTTACCATTTCTTTTTTTTTTTTCTTTTTTTTCTTTTTCCATTTCTTTCTTTTTCCATTTCTCTTTTCTTTCTTTTTCCTTTTGTTTTTTCATTTCTTTCTTTTTCTTTTCTTTCTTTTTTGTTTTTTTCCATTTCTTTCTTTTTCTTTTATTTCTTTTTCCTTTTCCTTTTCTTTTTTCTTTCTTTGTCCTTTTCTTTTTTCCATTTCTTTCTTTTTCCTTTTCTTTTTTTCATTTTTTCTATTTCTTTTTTTCAATTTCTTTTTCCTTTTCTTTTTCCTTTTCTTTCTTTTTCTTTTGTTTTTTCATTTCGTTTTTCTTTTCTTTCTTTTTCAATTTCTATTTTCTTTTTTTCTTTTTCTTTTCTTACTTTTTTGTTTTTTTCCATTTCTTTCTTTTTCTTTTGTTTCTTTTTCCTTTTCCTTTTCTTTTTTCTTTCTTTGTCCTTTTCTTTTTTCCATTTCTTTCTTTTTCCTTTTCCTTTTTTCCATTTTTTCTATTTCTTTTTTTTTCAATTTCTTTTTCCTTTTCTTTTTCCTTTTCTTTCTTTTTCTTTTGTTTTTTTCATTTCGTTTTTCTTTTCTTTCTTTTTCCATTTCTTTTTTCTTTTCTTTCTTTTTTATTTTTTCCATTTCTTCCTTTTCTTTTCTTTTTCTTTTTCCTTTTCTTTTTTCTTTCTTTGTCCTTTTCTTTTTTTCCATTTCTTTCTTTTTCCTTTTCCTTTTTTCCATTTTTTCAATTTCTTTTTCCTTTTCTTTCTTTTTCCTTTTCTTTCTTTTTCTTTTGTTTTTTTCATTTCGTTTTTCTTTTCTTTCTTTTTCCATTTCTTTTTTCTTTGCTTTCTTTTTTTCAAGCAGCATAATATTTTCATTTTATTCTTCCTTCTTTTTTCTTCCGATATCTTTCTTTCATTCTTTATTTTATTCAATATCTTTCTTTTTCACTTTCTTTTTTTATTTCTTTTTCTTCTGCTCTCTTTCTCTTCGCTGTGTTTAATTTTTTTTTACATTCTTTTTGCTTTATTTCTTTCTTTTCCAAAGGCATCATTTTACATTTTTATTCTTTCTTTCTATTTCTTTCTTTCTTTTTCATCTTCTCGTATTCCCATTTTATTCTTCCTTCTTTCTTCCTTTCAGTTTCTTTGTTTTTTCTCTTTCTTTCTCTCTTTCTTTCTTTCGTTGTTTTTTTCTTTTTCCTCTCTTCCTGTTTTTCTCCCCGCTGTGTTTAATTCTTTTTTACACTATTTTGTTTTATTTCTTTCTTTTCCAAATGCATCATTTTGCATTTTTTTATTCTTTCTTTCTTTATATTTCTATCTTTCTTTTTCATCTTCTCGTATTACACTTTTATTCTTCCTTCTTTCTTTCTTCCAATATCTTTCTGTCATCCTTTCAAGATCTTTCTTTTTTCCCTCTTTTTCCTCTTTTGATCAAAGTGTCATTTTTTCAGTCATCCGCCTCGGATCAATGTAGTGTATGTATACTCTGCCTAGGGTGAAAATTTCATTGTATCTTTTCACTTTGTCATGATCAAAGTATCCTTTCTTAGTCTTCAGCTTGGATCAAAGCTTAACTCACTGGCTCTCTGCCTAACGTCAATGCAATATCTTTATCGAAGATCAAAGTATAGTTTCATGACTCTCTGTCTCCCTGTCTGGGATCAGAGTGTCTGATCTATATAGTCTAGGATCAAAGTTTCAATCATTGGCTCCCAGCCTAGGATCAGAATGACATTCTCTGTCTCGGATCAAAGTCTCAATCATTGGCTCCCAGCCTAGGATCAGAATGATATCCTCTGTCCCTCTGTCTAGGATCAAAGTCTCAATCATTGGCTCCCAGCCTAGGATCAGAATGACATTCTCTGTCCCTCTGTCTAGGATCAATGTGTAAGTCTGTCTAGGATCAAAGTCTCAATCATTGGCTCCCAGCCTAGGATCAGAATGATATTCTCTGTCCCTCTGTCTAGGATCAATGTGTAATAGTCTGTCTAGGATCAAAGTCCCAATCATTGGCTCCCAGCCTAGGATCAGAATGACATTCCCTGTCCCTCTGTCTAGGATCAATGTGTAATAGTCTGTCTAGGATCAAAGTCTCAATCATTGGCTCCCTGTCAAGGATCAAAGTGCCACTCTCTATCCATCTGTCTATGATCAGAGTGTATGATCTATTTAGTCTAGGATCAAAGACTCAATTATTGGGTCGCTGCCGAGAATCAGTCATTCTTTTTCCCTCAGTCTGGGATCAGAATGTAGAATCTGTATAGTCCGACCAGGATCAAAGTTTCAATCACTGTCACTCAGCCTAAGATCAATGCAATATCTTTGTGGAAGAAAATCTGAATGCTTTGAGCGTAAACTCTCCTCAAGCTCTACTCTTGACTCATCCGGAATGTCCCAGCCTAACTTCCCTCCTAGAACTGAGTCTCTCTTGAGTGATATGTATATAACCCCTTTCATGGTTTCTGCTATCATCTCTACCTTAGATCCCTACAAAGCCTGTGAACACGATGGTATCCCTGTAATAGTCATTAAGAAGTGTGCTCTCCAACTGGCTCCTGTTCTCTCTAAACTGTACAATAAATATCTCCTGCTTCCCTGCCTGCTGGAAGTTATCATCTGTTGTTCCAGTACTTAAGAACTCTGGTGAGCCGTCCGAACCTTCCAACTATCGGCCTATTAACCTTCTACGTTTTTTAAGAAACTCCTAGAGGTTCTAATCAATTCTGAATTGGTTCATCATCTCTCATCGCAGGGTCTTTTCTCAGACAAGCAATATGGCTTTCGTTTCTTCAGGTCAACTGCTGATGTACTGACGATATTTGTAGAAAGAGTTTATCCTGCTCTAGATAAAAAAAACGGTGAAGCCCGGACTTTTGCATTGGACATCTCAAAAGCCTTTGACAGAGTTTGGCATTAAGGTCTTCTCCACAAGCTGAAAAGTTACGGTGTCTCCGGACATATTTTTGAACTGATCCAGTCTTTCCTGTCAAATGGTGAAATGAGAGTAAAACAGCCACTCGTCTAGGTCCTTTCGTACTAACGTAGGTGATCACAGGGCGCTATCCTTGGTCCTACTCTATTTTTAATTTTCACTAATGACCTTCCCGGCGACATCAGCTCTCAACTTGGTATCTTGACAACACAACAATTTACTCTTGCTAAGGTGTATCAGTCTGACATGGTCAAAATGGCAACCGATGTCCAAAACGGCCTCAAGTCAGTAGATAACTGGTACAAAAGATGGATTGTTAATTTTAACGCCCCCAAAACTAAAACTCTCGTCATTAAACATCTGAGAGTCCCCTTGCTGCCTTCCATCAGTATGGCGGTATTTACTTGACTCCCACGAGGTCAAGATGTGACACAAGGTCATTTTTCGTGGGATGACTTGACTCCCACGGGATCAAGACGTGAAACAAGGTCGTTTTTCGTGGGAAAACCCAAGCGTTTCCGCATAGGGTCACTGGTCAAAGATTGGTCATAACATGTCCAAGCTGGTCATGGCTTAGTCAATGTTTTGGTCATAACATGTCCAAGCTGGTCAAGGCTTAGTCAAGTTCTGGTCTTGGCTTGTCTTAGCAGGTCCTGATATGGTCCAAACTAGACTTTGCCATGGTCGCAACCCAGCCCGAAGCTGATGCTATCCTCCATACAAATGACGCTTTGCGCCTTCCAGGGCTCACGTTTTCTGCTGATATGAAAAAAATACATTGAATCCATTGCTAGATCAACCGCTAAGAAAGTCAGTTCACTATGTAGGGCGAGACAATTTTTCTCTACAGAATCTATCTTACATATCTATAAGTCTACCGTTCGTCCATGCTTAGAATATTACTGTCATATGTGGTCTGGTATCCCCGCTATTTACCTTGAGCTCCTTGAAAAGCTCCAAAGAAGAATCTGCAATATTATTAGTCCTGATCTGGCAGCTCAGCTCCAGTCCCTTTCCATCGCCGTAAATTTGACTCTATCTTTTTTCTATAAATACTTTCATGGTAATTGTTCAGAAGAGCTCTTCGCTATGGTACCTAGAGTTTCTGAATTTAAGCACTGAAATAGACTAGCATTGAGATCTCATGAATTTACAGTTGAGCTAACTAGATGTAGCTGCAAATTCTATGCTAACAGTTTCTTCTCTCGCACTTCTCGCTTGTGGAACTCAATTCCGACCCCATGCTTTCCAGACAAGTTTAATCTCAAAAATTTAAATGCAATGTCAATCGCTATCTACTGTCCTCCTGATTACTCTTTTCTGTTTCCGCTCATTATTAATATGTCTGTTCCTAATTCTTCCACACCCTGTAACCCATTGTGTTTTAGTGCCATTACTAGCTTGCTTGGGGTGATTCCGATTAAAAAAAAAGATCAAATTATTGTTTCATAGGTCTCTTTGTCTCAATGTCTGGGATCAGTGTAGGGTCTATATAGTTGAGGATCAAAGTCTCAATCATTAGCTCTCTGCCGAGGATCAACGTGTCACTCATTATACCTCTGTGTGGGATCAGAGTGCAGGATCTATATACTCTGTCTAAGATCAAAGTTTCAATCGGTGCCTCTTCACCTAGAATCAAAGTGTCACTTTCTATCCCTCTGTCTGGGATAAGAATGTAGAATCTATGTAGTCTAGGATCAAACTCTCAATCATTGGCTCTCTGCCAAAGATCAAAATCTCAATCATTAGCTCTCTAACAAGGATCAAAGTGTCACTCTCTGTCCCTCTATCTGGGATCAGAATACAGGATCTCTATAGTCTGTCCAGGATCAAAGTCTCAATAACTGGCTCCCTGCCTAGGATCAAATGTCACTCCCTGTCCCTCTGTCTGGAATCAGAGTGTAGGATCTGTATAGTCTGTCTAGGCTCAAAATCTCAATAACTGGTTAACTGCCTAGGATCAAAGTGTCACTGCCTGTCCCTTAGTCTGGGATCAGAGTGTACCATCTGTGTAATCTGTCTAGGACCAAAGTCTCAATGATTGACTCTTTATCTAGAATCAGTGTAGTGTCTGTGTGGTGTATAAAAAGTGTTAAACATAGACCAAAAATAACATATATGTATACACATTGCATTTTATATATATACTAGCAGTAGAGCCCGGCGTTGCCCGGGAATGTAACAGTAAGAGATAGATCAAGTATCGACCATCATAAAGACTGAAAAATAAAATTGACAAAGATTATTGTTTAAGGTTGACGGAGACGCATGTCTTAATTAGTTTTTTTTTTTTTTGTTTTTTTTGTTTTTTGGTGGGGGGTTACGAATTGGTCAAACCCAAACTCAAACAAAAGCATTGTTTTCAATCGTTATGAGTCTATCGATTGAATAGAATTTTATTATAGTCTTGTAAATGGAATTTTTAAAGCATTCTGAAAATAAAGAAAAAAGTGTGCAAGACAATAAGAAACACTACCTGCCAAAAAAAAGTGAAGTTTTGTTGAAATCGGTTGAAAAATGTTGGAAATCCGATCCCATATATAAACGAACACAGACACACGCTCACAACCAACCTGGGTTTTATAATAAGTATAACTCGATATGAGTTGTCCCCCTTTCATTCTCGTGATGCCGCTTAATCGTGTTTTCAAATTGATTTCGTGCAAAAACAATTGTGTTTTTCCAATTTTTGGCGCTGTCAGAACCACCGCAAGGTAATTTTACGTAGTCCTGTGAAGTTTTGTTGACATCGGTTGAAAAATGTAGGAAATCCGATCCAATATATAAACGAAACAGACACACACACACAACCTGGGTTTTATATGTATGATATATATTCTTTTTCCTTTCTTTTCTTTTTATCAGATTTGAATTCAAGTGGTCTCGAACAGGATTCCTTTTAACAGATTATGTAACATGCGAAAACATTGGAACTTTGAGTCTTACTCTCATACGAGCTGGAGACGTGGAGAAGTCAGCATTTGTTGGAATACGAGTTCGTCCAATGTCAGCCAAAGCTCAAAATGACTTCATTCCTAGCACTGCTAAACAAGTACAGTTTGATCCAGGTATATTATTATTATTTTCTTTATTATTATTATTATCATTATTATTAAAAATTATTTATCTTTCAGAACCAAAGTTCAAAGTGCATCTAACCTTAAGTTCAACAATATCATTGTTCAAATTAATTATATAAATCCCAATTTAATACAATTTGCAACTTGCCAATTCCGCACCGGGCATGTTTCCCTGTCACCTGTGCCCGAGAACTTGTCGTTTGCGGATCGGGATGCTATCTCATTTGGCAGCCCACAGAAGACGGATGGAGATGGAAGGACAGTGTCAAAAGGCAAAAGACAAAAAAAAGAAGGTAAAAAAAGTATAGTTAATGAGATTTCCCATGTTCCCAGACTATACTGTACATTTTATATGATAATACATATGTGAAGGTAGCCTAATGGTTGAAGCATGGAGAGTGGAATTAGTTACTAGATTTCAATAAGAAAAAAAAACATTATTAAAGGAGCAAGAATAGACGAACAATCAAGAAGATAACGATTGACGTTGTATTTAAATTTTTGAAGATCAACAATGGCGGGAAAGCAAGGAACCAGAAGAGTGTTTCTACAAGTGAATAGTGCAAGAAAAGAAACTGTTAGCATAGAACCTATGCTTACATGTAGCAATTTCAACTGCAAAATGATGAGACCTAGCTGCCAATCTAGTACTGTGCTTAAATTCATAAAGTCTAGGTGCCATAGAGGAAAGTTCAACTAAACAATTACCATGAAAATGTTTACAGAAAATGCACAAGGAAGCCACATTACAAAAGTAGGAAAATGACTGAAGGTGATATGCCAGGTCAGAACCAATAATATTGCTGATTCTGCTCTGGATTTTCCCAAGGATCTCTAAATATATTAGGAGGAGCACCAGACCAGATGTGGCAACAATATCCAAAGCATGAACGAATGGTGGATTTATAAATATGCAAGATAGATTCTGGAAAGAAAAATTGTCAAGCACGACACAGGGAACCAACTTTCTTAGCAGAAAACCTAGCAATTGATATAATATAATCTTTCCACTTCATGTCAGCAGAGAAAGTTAGCCTGAGAAAGCATAATGACTCACTCTCCTGAAGGTTAGCATCTGCCATAATGATGGACGGCTGAAAGACAGCAGTTTTATTTAGGAGACATTCAACTTTACAAGCCATTCCTTGCTCCAGTTAACAACAGATTGTAGGTCATTTTTATGATCAGCTGCCAATTTTACCATATCAATTTAATCAGACCTACTATTAAGAAAGGAGTAAATAGTAAATTAAGTAAGGAGTTGTTTCATCAGCATACTTAGTTGAAGAACTGATGCCATTTGAAAGGTTATTGATGAAAATTAAGAACATACATCTAATGAACACTTACATTAATTCAAAAAGATCGAGAAGAATGGCCATTCCAGACAACTTTCATTTTGTAATTTGACAAGAAAGACTGAATCACTATTTACATTATTCGCACTATTGTCCTCCATTTTGTCACTATATTTATTACAACGTTTTGGCGTTGTACACCCCGGCCTTCTTCAGATGGTGGGAATGTCGAACTGAACCCATTATTTCACTCACTATACCCAGAAATTCATACACAGATGTCCTCAAGGACATATGGTACAGTGGATAAAGGCATTAGTTAGATCTAGTGACAGGACCCAAAGAGTGTGGGTTCAATACCCGGTTAAGGCAGTGGAGAACTTTCAGAGGGGAATTAACAGGAGATAACTGATAACTGACATCCATGAAACATGGCACGTGGAAATAGAATAGTCTACCCCAGTGAGCGAAATAAAGGGTTCAGTTCGAAATTTCAACCACCTGAAGAAGGCTGGAGCGTACAAACATTGTAATAAATATGACGACAAAGATGAGGACAATAGTCCGAATAATGTAAATAGTATGCATAATACCTCATCTCAGAATTATAGACAGATACTGAGGACTGAATCAATTCAAAAATTCATCCAGAAATACCATAACTTTTTAACTTGTGAAGACGACAGGTAATGCCAAACTTATCAAATGCTTTCAAGATGTCCAAAGCAACAACCCAAATTTCCCTGTTCTTATCTAAAGCTTAATAGACACTTTCAGCAATAATACAAAAAGCCATATTGTTTATCTGAAAGAAAATCCAGCAATGTTAGATGCTTAACCAATTCAGAAATAGCAAGCTATATAAGTTTCATAAAGACACATAAGTACTGTCTTGAAAATGGATGTATATATCAAAAACATGCAATGTAAGTTTTGTAAAGATATGTAAGTATGTCTTGAAAACATAGATATATATACATTGACAGTAGGCAATGTAAGTTTTGTAAAGATATATAAGTATGTCTTGAAAACATATATATATATACATTGACAGTAGGCAATGTAAGTTTTGTAAAGATATATAAGTATGTCTTGAAAACATATATATATATATATATATTGACAGTAGGCAATGTAAGTTTTGTAAAGATATGTAAGTATGTCTTGAAAACACACACACACACACATATATATATATATATATATATATATATATATATATATATATATACATTGACAGCAGGCAATGTAAGTTTTGCAAAGATATGTAAGTTTTGTAAAGATGTGTAAGTATGTCTTAAAAACATATATGTCTTTACAAAACTTACATTGCCTCCTGTCAATTTAAGTTTTGTAAAGATATGTAAGTACGTCTTGAAAACATATATATATATATACATTGACAGCAGGCAATGTAAGTTTTGCAAAGGTATGTAAGTATATCTTAAAAAATATATGTCTTTACAAAACTTACATTGCCTGCTGTCAATGTATATATATACATTTATGTTTTCAAGATGTATTTACATATCTTTATAAAACATTGCCTGCTGTCATTTTAAGTTTTGTAAAGATATGTAAGTACGTCTTGAAAGCATATATATATATATATATATATTGACAGCAGGCAATGTAAGTTTATAAAGACATATCAGTGCGTCCACATCAGTGGAAGGGCTAAATAAAGTTGATATTAATATGTTTCACCTCTTTCTTTTCACAGGAATGATGAAGGCAACATGGAGTGTCTTGATTGAAGCTGACAAACTGAAAGAGAACAATGAGAAATTCAAAGTGATTCTCCACAATCCAGTAAACACAATTATTGGGAAAAATGGCAAGACCACAGTCCAAATTATCAATGCTGTAAATGGTAAGTTTTAACACTCCTCATCGACACGGCATAGTTAAAAAATTCTTCTTAAATAATCAATATATTTTCATTTAGATATGCCAACATCTAATCTCAAACTCATCTAATATCTAACATCAACTAGCAAGTAAAAATTATATAAAAGAAACTAGCAAGGTTTTCAACTGTTACTTGGGTGTATTTATATGTTTAGTTATACTGTGGGCATCTGCCAATAGACATCTTTTTTGTTATATTTCATGCTAATAGGAATATATACTTGAAAAAACGAGGTGGATAAAATAAGTAAAGGTTTATTGTAAAAACCAATACAATAAGAATAAAAGTAACAGTTATGCACAAGGTCATTGCAAGTCAATCCAGTAGTGAGTGCTACTATTGGAAGGTCGGTAGTTCTCGCGTAAGTCAGAGTCGTAAACAGATCCCAGCTAGTCAATATTTACTAGACGAGGGTAGATGTGGCACAAGGCTGAGTTTAACGTGGGTCTTCCGACCCCATAGCCTCGGCCCCAAAATGCCCGTAGAACCTGCAGAAACGGGATCGGGACAGTCTACCTCCCCGAATGAGACTCTGCCCTTCGGCGGAGCCACGTCCGGGTTCCTTTCTGCCCGAAGGCTAAGAGTTCGACTGTTTAGCTGAAACAGGTCGCAGCTAGTATATTTAGCCCCACACCCCCACGAGGGTTTCATGTGGCACAAAGCCGGGCTTAACGTGGGTTCTCCGAGCCCGTAGGCTCGGCCAAAAATATTCCCTTTCTAACCCGTATAAACGGGTTCAGGGTCAGTCTACCACCCCGAACGAGACTCTGCCCTTCGGCGGAGCCTCGTCCGGGTTCCTCTCTGTCCGAAGGCAGAGAGTTCGACTGTTTACCTGGAACAGATCGCAGCTAGTATATTTAGCTACCAAACGAGGGTTGCATGTGGCACAAGGCCGGTTTAACGTGGGTTGTCCGAGTCCGTAGGTTCAGCCAAAAATATTCCCTTTTTGAACCCGCATAAACGGGTTCAGGGTCAGTCTACCTCCCCGAACGAGGCTCTGCCCTTCGGTGAAGCCTCGTCCGGGTTCCTCTCTGCCCGAAGGCAGAGAGTTCGACTGTTTAGCTGGAACAGGTCGCAGCTAGGCTCTGTAGTCCGTTGACTTACAGAGGCTTATAGTTAGTTACTACCTATAGTGTAGTCACTCATAGGGGTGACAGGTTATTCCATTACATCATTCTTGTACTAATATTCTTAGAATTCTTGCCTTGTATGAACTACATTGTCCATTATTATTAATTTTTGACTAGTCATTCTTTCATCTTATATCTTTTGCTTTATTTACCTCTAGTAGTATTAGATGTAATATTATTTGAATTTTCTCAATGAAACATTGTCTATTATTATTCATTTTTTATTATTATATAATATTATTCTAAGCAATATTCAGCGATTTATGCTCGATTATTATTATCACATTTGTGAGCTGCTGGGTGATTTGTATGAGTAAATAGGACAGATTTGTCTCTAATAAGATTTCTCGAATCTTCAGGCCGGTAGATGTTCTTTTGTTTATTTACACTAGTAATAATTACTTAGATGAAGTCTTGTCAATTATTTTTAATTTTTGACTAGTATTTTTTTCATCTTATTTCTTTTGCTTTATTTACACTAGTAGTATTAGGTAGAGGAGACTCGGTGGAGTAATGGGTAGCGGCTCGGATTGAGGAATCAGAGAGCTGAGTTCAAATTCCAGTCAAATCTATTACATTCACTTACATGCTAATAATCTTGGGAAAGGTATGAATCCTCTTCTTCTTCCACAAGCTATGGGTAAATAGTAGGACAGACCGGGTTCTATAACCTTGGATGGTAACTGGTCTACCGCAGAAAGAAATGGCTACCTACTGCAGGAAAAAATCTGCCTCGTCAGTCATGTATCAAAAAATAGATGATCGTCTAAGCATGTATCACGCATGGCTCATAACTGAGTAATAGACATAACTGTTATGTTAAATTCTTGAAGCCTTGTCAATTATTTTGAGTAGTATTTCTTTCATCTTATTGACTATTTTGACTAATATTTCTTTTTGACTATTTTGACTAGTATTTCTTTCATCTTATTGACTATTTTGACTCGTATTTCTTTTTGACTGTTTTGACTAGTATTTCTTTCATCTTATTGACTATTTTGACTCGTATTTCTTTTTGACTATTTTGACTAGTATTTCTTTTTGACTATTTTGACTAGTATTTCTTTTTGACTGTTTTGACTAGTATTTCTTTCATCTTATTGACTATTTTGACTAGTATTTCTTTTTGACTATTTTGACTAGTATTTCTTTCATCTTATTGACTATTTTGACTAGTATTTCTTTTTGACTGTTTTGACTAGTATTTCTTTCATCTTATTGACTATTTTGACTAGTATTTCTTTTTGACTATTTTGACTAGTATTTCTTTCATCTTATTGACTATTTTGACTAGTATTTCTTTTTGACTATTTTGACTAGTATTTCTTTCATCTTATTGACTATTTTGACGTATTTCTTTTTGACTATTTTTACTAGTATTTCTTTTTGACTATTTTGACGTATTTCTTTTTGACTATTTTGACTAGTATTTCTTTTTGACTATTTTGACTAGTATTTCTTTCATTTTATTGACTATTTCGACTAGTATTTCTTTCATCTTATTACTCTTTCCTTTATTAACCTCTAGTAGTATTAGTTGTAATATTATTTGAATTTTCTAAATGAAATATTGTCTATTATTGTTCATTTTTGACTATTATATATTATTTTCTCTTGCTGTCTTTTCATTAGTAATAATTTCTTAGATGAAGCCTTATCATTTTTTTTATAAATTTTTGTCCAGTATTTCTTTCATCTTAATTTTTCATGTAATATTTTAATTTCTTAAATAAAATATTGTCAATTATTAATTATTGATTTTGGCTAATACGACTAAATAATACAAGAGAAGTTAAATGAAAGAAAGGCTAGTAAAAAAATTAATTCAAAATTCTTCTTTTTCTGCAACTGTTTAGAAGTAATTCAAGTCTTGGAAGGAATTTATATGATTGTGGCAGTGTCTATCAGACTGACCTCCCATAAAGGGTGACAATGGGAGTATCAGCTTTTGCTAATATCTCTTACGCAACAATTACTTGTGGCAGACAGGTGTTAACCAAATGCTCACTCATACACTATTTTATCTATCAACCATTGTAGCATGGCAGTGGTTTGACATTTATTCAAGTTAACTAGCAATGGGTCAGAGAGCAGGAAGAATATATGACAGCTCTAATCTATTTAATATTCTCCTAGACTATAGCCTATGCATATACAAGCACAGATGTGAAGAGATGGACACTGATCATTTAAGCATTCTTTACCACATCCCAAACAAATCTACTAATAGATTGCATGGAATACTGCTGCCATATGGTATGCTGCCCCCGCTGTTCACGTTAAGGTCCTCATAAGATCCAGAGATGAATAAACAATATGGTTGGTCCTGATCTGACATCTCATCTACAGTTGGTCTCTCACAGATGTACCATCGCTTCCCTCTGTCTTTTCTACAAATACTTTCATGGTAACTGCTCCAACTAGCTACTTTTGCTAGTTCCCAGACTGCATGAATTTAAGCGTGCTACTAGGTTGGCATCTCAGTCCCACCCTTTCACTGTCGAAACAGTTTAATGTGGCCGTCTCTTCTACTCCAATAGCTTCATGTCTCGCACATTCTGTCTGTGGAATTCCCTTCCTATTACTTGTTTCCCTGATAGCTATAATCTCCAACTGTTCAAATGTAATGTCAATCGACATCTCCAGATGTCCTGACCTATTCCCTGTCCCTCTCTTCATACTTTCCTCCATCACGCCTTTTTACTTTCACTCCCACTCTGTAACCTCTTGTGAACTAGTGGCATCCTGCCTTACTTGGAGTGAAATGCTTAAAAAAAAAGGATGACAGTGATCCTGTTTTCCCCAATCAAGGCCAATGTACTGATGACGTGGGGAGCTATGCTGATGACATAGGTATTCATAGTTGGAATAGAAAAAATCTAGAACAAAAAAATCAACATCCACCAAGTGTTCCAAGAAATAGGGCTCAAAATAAATCTTTCCAAAACAGAAATGATAATTTGGAATTGAAATGAAAGTTGTGAAAGTACCTACTCTGAATCTATCATAAAAATTCAAGATGCAAAAATAATAAATCCTAAACACTTCAGATACCTTGGCGTATGGATCAGTTATAACAAATTTAGTCTAGGAGATAAGGAGATTGAACATAAAATATTCTGTGTTTGGGGTAGTTAGATCCAACATTGCAAGATGCTACAAAACAAAAGCATTAACCTAAGAACTCAAGTCATGTTCTTAAATAGTTTCATCAGATTAACACTTTCATATGAATTCCCTGCATGGTACCAAACCCATTCAGAAATATCTAAACTGCCAGCTGTATACAAACACTTCCTAAGATCAATGGTTAAAATTTCAAGATAAGAAATTTGTAAATACTAAACACTTCAAATACCTCGCCATATTAATCGGTTATTACAAATTTAGTATAAGAGATAAAGAAATTGAATATAAAATAAACTATACTAGAGATAGTTTTGCCCAACACCACAAACTGCTACAAAACCAAAACATCCACCAGAAAGTTTGAGTCATGTTCTTAAATAACCTTGTTGGATCGAGACTTTTATATGGATATTATTTGTAACGGGGTGATATGTTGAATTGTTAAAGTAATTACCCCATTGTTATATGTATTTGTAGTTGATAGAGGAATCTTTTCCTCTTTTTTTATACTGAAAATGAAACGAATAAAACATACAACAAAAACATAGCACTATAAGACTTTGAGACACGTGCTGAAATTAATGACAAGAATGTGTATTTTTTTTTATATTGGTATTGTGTGTGTTAATAATGTTCGCAGTGTTATTGTCTCTTTTGTTTCTTTAAAAGTTTGTTTTTGCTTGTTCCAAAAAATTTGTTGTTAAGGGTAGTGTTTGAGACTGTTGACTGTGGATTTTTATGGAACAAAGAAGATACGTCTGTATTGTTCTTTTTGCTACTGCTATTCTACTGACCTCACTTGTGGTGGAAGGGTCATTTTTATAATGATGAAGTTTCAGATTTTAGAATGATGAAATATTCAATCTTTATATCCAGGATAATGAAATATCCTTATCATCAATCATCACTGATGGAAAGATTGTTTTTAAAATGATGAAATATCATCATTCTGGATCGTAACTCATTCATAGCACCAAATTCATTCAGAAATATCTTACGAGCTATGTCCAAATGCTTTCTCAGATAAATGATTAAAAATAAACCTTGTAAGTCTTAGCAAGGACGAACCATCTTTGAACATTGTGGACTGGTACTATAGAATCAAAAAGAACTGTACCAAATAACAGAAACCACATCACTTGAGAACATTTTAACAACTAAAATGCATAGCACATGTATGTTGAAGAGGAAATGATGCCATAATCATAATGCTGACATTCCACAGGACATTAAACAAAGGGTTAGGAAGGAAGCTGCAAACAATACTGGAAAGTGTGATTTAAGAAACCTATTTTCCTGAAAAATTGTTTTAGCCCTTTGATCCCGAGCAGCCAGTATGCCTGCTGCTGTGTGAAAATGCATATACTCGGGTGGCCGGTATACTGCACAGAGTCATGGACAGCTGAGATAGATAGCAGGGGGCCCGGGCTGGGAGATCCATACTCATTAGGTGGTCTGGTTCTAAAGGGTTAATAAAAGGAGTTTATAAATTTCAACCAATGTTAGCACTGGCTGCTCAGTCAATGAATACCAAATGTTTCCTTATAAGGAAATTGTTAATATTACCATGTCTTCAGTATCTGTCTATATTTCTGAGATGAGTTATCATGTACACTATTTACATTATTCGGACTATTGTCCTCATCTTTGTTGTCATATTTATTACAATATTTCAGCCGTTGTATGCTTCAGCCTTCTTCAGATGGTTGGAATGTCGAACTGAACCCTTTATTTCGCTCACGGGGGTAGACTGTTATAGTTCCACGTAAAAGTCTAATGGATGTCAGTTATCAATTAACTCCAGTTCTCCACTGCCTTAACCGGATATTGAACCCACAACTTTTATTCAGAACCATTGGCATAAAGTGAATACAAACCCAGTCCACTAATTCTGTTCAACATACAAAACCATATCCATGGTTCCATTCTGCAATTCTAGATGTTTCTTTATTGATCTTTTAATACCAGTATTGATTTCTTTCAGGCAAATGTCCCCAATATATTGGAATGATTAGCAAAGATCATCCTGAACCACTTACAAAAACAAGCAATCATATTCACATAGGTAAAAATTTACCTTTACAGGTAAGATATTCTCTTTCTGTTTCTTTCTTTTAATCTACTAAAATTAGTTTAAATTCTAACCCAGCTGGAATATTTTATTTACCGTATATATTCTAGCCTATTATTTTTTTGTATAGTGCGACCCCAAAATTTTTTGTGAAAAACCTGATTTCTTCAAATAGCTTGTATATAATGAAACCCAGCTACTGAGTAATACTAGTAAGCCTACTGTAATCAAATATTGCAGTACTGGGCATCATCCTGTACATATTCGGTTGGTGCAAAAATAATGATGTAATAATGTCGTTTTTTGACGTAATTTTAACGTCAAAAAACGACATTATTACGTCATTATTTTTGCACCAACCTAATATTTTATAGCATGATCATTCTTTTTTGTACAAAGCAAAAAAAAGCTTCATTCAGATGATTAAAACAGAGCATTTTTTAGGCATTAAAATTAACAAGCCATTTCTTGCTCCACTTAACAACTGATTGCAAGTCATTTTGGAGCTCAGCTGCCAATTTGACCTTATTGAACCGATTAGACTTACCATTATGTGTGTAAGTAACTGACTGCCCTAACTTGCGAACTCTTCCTACCTGTTGGATATGCTAATCACTTTCTGTACAATAGCCATTAAATAAAGACGTAATACTCTTCTTAATACAGCCTTCTCTCATCCTTTATTACTTCCGGACCCCAGATGCTGGAATAAAAACTCATAATTACAGAATGTACACAAAGAAAAAAATATCTTTTTCAGATAAAAACAAAGGGAGATAACAATGATTTTGTAAATGTTTTCAAGGGAGATAACAATAAAAATAATTCTCAAAGTTATTTACCTTGTTTATTTGGGGCGGAGTGGGGGTTTTTGATTTGCTTGACTTATAAGGTTTGGCTTGGTCGAGCAGAAGGATCGAACTCACTATACAGTATTGATGATTTTCTAGATTCTATCGCTGAATATAAGGCAACGCCGCGGCGCCCGGGTTATAACAAAATTAGTAGTTTAGTATCTCAAGTTATCACGGCTGTTATGTGAGGGCATGACATCTTTTTTTTTCAGAACATGGGCGATCATGATTCTCCACAGCCTCCTGTCCCTCGTGGCCCTTAGCAGCGTTTCTCCATTTGCCAAAAGTCTCGCCCCTCGTTCTACAATCCGTTCACACAAGCTCTTCTGATAAGAGACCCACTGCCTTCTTTTATCTCTCTTGCTTTTGATATGCCCTGTGAGGGTTAAGTTCTCTAAGCATTCTTTCTTCATTATATATCCAAGAAATCCCAGCTCTTTTTCTAATTCTGGATATCAGTGTTCTTTTTGTTACTCATTCCATTCATGGAATTCTCCGTATTCTTCTGTTGCTTCCAGCAGACAGTAGATAACGATTGGCATTGCATTTACGTTTTTGAAGATCAAAGTTGACTAAAAATGAAAAGGCCAAAAGAGAGTTCCATAAGAAAGAAGTGTGACAGAATAAACTCTTAGCATAGAACTTACGGTAACGTCTAGCAATTTTAACCTTAAAATGATGAGACCTAACTTCCAATCTAGTAATATGCTTAAATTCATAAACTCAAGGTACCAAAGAGGGAAGGACATAAAAACAATTATCATTAAAAATTTGCTTGCAAAAAATATATATTCAAACATATTGAAATCAGTGTCACTGTAATGATGACAAATTTTAAAGATAAGATATTTTAGAAAAAAAATATAAAAAAGATAAAAGATATAAAAGAAGATAAAAGATTTTATGAGTTTCTGTATTTCTTCATATAAAACAAGCAGAAAAGATTCCTGAACAGCATTCCAAAGTTCATATTTGCTGGTAAATAACCAACCACTAATGTAATGAAATTACAAGTTTCCTAGAGTGAAGAAAATTAAATAACAATTTGTTTACTATCACAGCTAATGTCTATAAAGACCTTTTTCATTTTTGAGATGACAACGAAGGGAGATAACAAAGATTGTGTTCATGTTTTCTAAGGGAGATAACAATAAAAAAAATTCCAAAGTTATTTACCTTGTTTTTCGGGGTTTTTTTTTTAAAAAAAAAACAAGTTTCTTCTTTGGCAATTCACTCCTCTTGCAATTCTCTTCCAGTTTCTTGCTATTCCCGTCAACTTTGATCTTCAAAGGTTTAAATGCAGCGTCAATCATTATCTTCTGTTGTTTTAATTCTTGTTCTTTTACTGTTCTCTCTTCTTTTTCACATATTCCTTTGTACTCATTAACCACTTGCATCTTAGTGGATTTATTGCCTTACTTGGGGGTGAAATAATTAAGAATATTTTTTTTATTGTTTTAACTTAACAAAAGCTGATTTATTTTAACTAATCAAGAGTCGTTTTAGTTGTGAAAGCTTTTTTTTTTCTTTACAAAATTTTATAAATAAGAATGAGATAACACAATATCTTTTTATATATCAAGGACAGTATTGGGGAAATTGTATGACAAAGTGGAAAAAGCTTACTTGTGACACGTTTCGTCTTTCAGGATTTCATTGGACTAAATTTGTTATATTGATAGAACTACTTATTCAAATGACAGAGGGGTGCTGAGAATTTTAGATTTTTTTTTTTTATCTAGCTAAATTCATTTAGAGTCTTTTTCTTCCCATCACTTTTGTTCGTAGGTATCATTGCTTGGGGTGAAATGGTTAAAAGAAAAAAAACTCATATTTGGTGACTAATGGAAATGTAGATAATTTAATGGCATCCATCTCCATGTTTTAATTTCTTACTAAATTTTAATTGTTCCTTTTTTAAGCATTTTTTATATAAATTTTTTTTATTTGTTGGGGTGAGGTTATTTTAATTATTTTTTTTTTCAATTTTAATCTTTGCTTTAAAGCACTTTTTATTAAAATAATTTTTTAAATTTTGTTGGGGGGGGTTCTTTTTAATAATTTTTATTCAATTTTAAATAATATTGGGGAAATTTTACAGCTTCATTTTCATTAGATTTATTCATTGTTAATCTTTCTTCACTAAAGTATTTTTGGCACACAAGGACCTCTGTGAACAGTACCTTTGCCTGTTCATTATTGTCAAACTCTCTGCCTTGAGCAGAGAGGAACCTGGACGAGGCCCTGAACCCATGTATGCAGCTTCTAAGGGAATATTTTTGGCCGAGCCTACAGGCTTGGAGAACACTCTGTAAACTCGGCCTTGTGCCACATACATCCCTCATGAGGGACTGTTAAATACTAACAAGGACCTCCATACCCACAAAAAAGTGTAGTGTTAAAAGGAAGATTTTTCCTTTGACACTGCTATTACTTTGACTAATATCACAATAATGTCTATTGTTTTCAAAGTCGATGATTAGTATTTTCATAAAACTTGAACATACGAAATTGAATTTATACATTTTCTTTGTTCTTGAAAATTGCTGACAAGAATAATAAATACTATTTGTTAACTAGATTGTTTATTTACACTAATTATTATATTATTTATTGGAATTGTTGGAAAGACATTGGCTAATTGCCAATCAATTCAAACTTTATAAAATGGTAAATAATAAGGTTTTCTTTAATTTGATTCACATATTTTTATAATTAATAAATATTTATAAATTTATGAATGTGAAATTGTTTCCAGATTTATTTCTTTATAAATTAGTAAATAATAAATATTGCATTGCATTAGTTTAAATTGTATTCGTTTTTAGAATGTTGTAAATATAAAATTATTCTTGTAAATAAACAATCTAATAAATAAATTGTGTTTAATATTTTTCTTGTAAATTCTCAAGAACAAAGAATGTATAAATTCACTTTCATATCTTTAGGTTTTATTTAAATTCTAATCATTACTTTTTAAAACATTGCCAAGGAGTAAAGGTGGTTAAAATAATAGTGGTATTAAGGAAAAAACTGTACTTTTGACATTACATGTTTTATGGACATGAATGTCCAAGTTTGACATATTTTTTATTAGATTATTTTTTTTTCATTTTGTTGGAATGTTTTAATTATTTAATTATTTAACCTTTTCACTTAAAAGCAAGTTTTTCTGATTTATTCTTTTGTTAAAATAGTTTATATAAATTTTTTTTTTCAACATCTTAAGTTTTTATTATTTGATTTTTTAATAATTTTTCTTTGAAAAGAATTGTTCAAATATTATATTGTTATATTTTTAATAAGTTTATTTTTCTTTTATGCAATTTCAAGCTTTCTTTATGAAAGCATTTTTTTTGTTTTCTTTTTTTTTTTTTTTTCAATCCTATTTTCTTTCCTTTTTTTTCTAGTTTAATCCATTTCCCAAATTGCAATTACTGGACAGTCCAGGGGAGGAAAACAAGCAATTCGAAGTAGCACAAACCAAGCCCAAAAAAAGCAAGCAAAACGGGAAAGGAGGAAAGAAAGGAAAAAAGTCCAAGAAAGGCAAAAAGAAAAGTAAAAAATCAAAAAACAAAAAAACTTCTGTGGCAAAATCTCCAATGGATAAAAATCTTGGCACTGAAGTTGTAACAGAAGGAAGCTTAAAGGTAAAACAATCACCCATAAGACATAAATACCCAATAAAACAATCACCCATAAAAGAAGCACCCATAAAACAATCAGCCATAAAACATGCACCAATAAAATATAAACACCGATAATGCATAAACACCCATAAGACAAGCACCCGTAAAACCTAAATATGCATAAAACAATCAACTATAAAACAATCTCCCATAAAACAATCAGCCATAAAACATGCACCAATAAAACATAATCACCCATAAAACATTAACACCCATAAAACAAGCACTCATAAAAGATAGATACCTCTAAAACAATCAACCATAAAACAAGCACTTATAAAACAATCAGCCATAAAACTAGCACCAATAAAACATGCACTAATAAAATATAAACACCCATAAAATGAGCACCCATAAAACAAGCACCCATAAAACAAGCACACTTAAAACATAAATACCCATAAAACAATCAACCATAAAATAAGCACACATAAAACAATCAGCCATAAAACAAGCACCAATAAAACACACACCAATAAAACATAAGTGCCCATAAAACATAAACACCCATAAAACAAGCACCCATAAAATAAGTACCCATAAAACAATTACACATAAAACATAAATACCCATAAAGCAATCAACCATAAAAAAGCACACAAAAAATAACTAGCCATAAAACAAGCACCAATAAAACACACACCAATAAAACATAAACACCCATAAAACAATCACCAACAAAAGAGGCAGAAATAAAAAAAAAAATGGTCACCAAATAGCTACAATCTAATCAAAATTTACAAAAACAAGTGAGATTATATCTGCAGTTCTGAATTGAAACAATGCCATCATTCAATCTATTATTTGAATTAACCACATTATCCTTCTTTGAAATGATATGTTTCAACATGTGAGCTATGTGGACTTCCTTAGATGTATATTGTATCCAGTGCTCCTAATTGTGAAACACTGATAACAGATTTTAAAGCATTTTAAGAATTTTAAGAATTTTACTACTTACAGCCCAACAAACCATTTTACTATTTACTGCCTGACACACTATTTTCTACTTACCATATGACACACTATTTTACAATTTTGGCCAACTGAATATCTTACAAGTAACTGTCCTACAGAACATTATAGTACTTACCTGCCAATTTGTCATCTTACTACTTACCACCCAATAGATCAGCACTTCTTAAACTATGGGTCAAGACCCCAAATGGGGTCACGATCCATAGTTTAAGGAAGCAAAATGCAGGGGTCATAAAAATTAAATTCAATTACTTGAATTTCAGTTTATATATTATTTCACAAATGCACAATTCTTAACCTGATGCACCAAGCAAGCACTGTAGTAATAAAATGCACTTGTGGTGCCATTATGATTAGTTCAATGACAATGTATGTATTTTCAGTGCAGTTGGTTAATACCTGGGGTTGCAAAAAATCTTGTGATGAAAAATGGGGTTATGAATGAAAGAAGTGTAAGAAGGACTGCAATTGACCATTACCATTCAGCTGATAATCTTTTTAGTTACAATATGACAAACCTTTTTACTAGTTACCACCCAAATGATCATTTTGTTACTTACCACCCAACATACCATTTCACTACTTACTACCCAACTGATCATCTTACTAATTACTATCTGATATACCATTTCACTACTTACCACTAGGTAAATCATTTTATTATATACTGCACAAATGATTATACGAGAATCCCACCAAGATTAAAATTAAATATATAATGTAAATATTTAAGACAATTTGGAAATTTTCAACTTTAAAAAATAAAGTCATCAGAAATTAAATAAACACATCTATCTGAACCACTCTTATGGAAGCTAACCATATTGAACATGCCTAATAGCATAGTCATGCACAGAGCAAACTTTAAACCCAGAGTTAACCAGATTGTCAAACTGAGACATCATTTTGCCTATGCACTGTTCTTTCCAATCTGGCAATAAGAAACTTGGCACTAAAAGAAACTGCTTTTAATTATAACTAATAACAGTAAGAAAGAACTTTTTCAATTCAACTTTTATTGTACCTTTCTACTGTTCATTACTTCTATACCAACTCAAATTACTTTGAAATAGATCTGATTTCAGGAACTTAGGAAATACATATTTTCTTTCTTTACATGCAATACAAAGGAACATTGACTCTGATATTATGGTCAACCCATGATATAGTTTTCAGTGACTATGCCATTAAGCATTCTTTTATAAAGTTGGCTTCTATAAGAATGGCTCAGATAGATGTATTTATTTAATTTCTTTTTTTCAAGCTTTACATTGGCTGAAAAACGTTTTTTTGTTGGGGGGGGTCAATTTTAAGCTGATTTTGAATATTGCTTTGAGCTGGAAATGATTTATCTGGTGTACTTTTATCGGTTTTTAACTTTTAGTGTGTTACAAAGCTGTCAGAGTAAAGACATCTGTTAAGATTTTTTTGATAAGGGAACTGACAATTTTATGAGAAAGAAGACATTTGTGTAAAGTAGTACAAAAAGATCCAGACAGATCACCAATAATTTTTTTAGAAAGTTTTTCTGCTCAATTCTCAAATCTGGCCAGTTCTTTTATTAATGTTCCCATGATCCAAAGTTGTATATGGTTATAGAACTTTAGTCAATAAAATGTTTCTTTTTATACAGTCTATTTTTTTTTCTCTCCTTTAATTTCAGGGTGCCAAAATTTGTACAGAAACTACAAAAGACCTGCTATTTTTAGATATGACCAGTAAAAAGTTATACCGCTGCGATGGAAAACAATGGCGTGAATGGCATTTCCTACAGGGACAAAAAGATGAGCAACCTCAGAGTAGTGTTTGTGAACAAGGTAAATGTGCTTGTGAACAAGGTAAATGTGCTTGTGAACAAGGTAAATATGTTTGAGAACAAGGTAAATGAATCCAGTTGTGTTTTACTGCTGGTAAAATGTTTGAGGAAAAAGTTTCTTTAATTAGATATATTTTGTTAATGGATTATCTATAATAGTAATTATAGTATTTTCCAGCTTACAAGACGCTGCAGCTTGGAAGGTGCACCCTAATATTTGAAAGAAATTTAAAAAAAAAAAAATCATTCTCATACAACACATTCACCATGTGTCCCTCACATACTGGCGCCACGTATTGTTGACATCAGGGGTTTTCAAACGTTTTGACTTGCGGACCCCTTTATATTTCAGGCTTTACCTTAGGGAACCCCTTATAAATGCTTATGAAATTTATACATAAATATTTACTGAATATAACATATAATTTTGCATTAATGCCAATGAGAAAGCCCGAAATCCCAAAATAGATCCAAAATTCAAATCCTTTGGTTCCTTCTCTGCATGAATAGAATCCATTATCTTTATCAATTTAAGATACAAATTATATTAGTATATCAAATCTATGAAATAGTTTATTGAATCAATTTATTTCATGATCGACCTATAAGTTACTTATAAGCACTTATAAGTTGCACATCACCCATAAAAAAGTGTTTGCTGTCCACAGACCCCCTATCTTATCCTTGCAGACCCCCTATGGTCCACAGACCACAGTTTGAAAACCCCTGGTTTACATTAATCACTTGTTCGATTTGGTGTGTATGGCAATGACATACTAGTCAAGAGCAGAAAGGCTTCTACTGCTGCTAGTAAACAGAGCATGTTTGAGATTGTGGCTTGGCTCCAGGAAGGTTTATAGTCTTGGAAATACTTGTAACAGCTAAGTACTGAGGTTACATAATATAAAAAGCTGAATTAGATAGATAGCTAACATTATAGTGTAATGAATCAATATACAAATCCATGTCCCTATCAACCAAGTGAATTTGGTCGCTGTCCAAGCTTACTTGAGCCTGGGCGTTGCCTTACACTCATCTTGGAAGACGCACACCTATTTTTCAGGGTATTTTTTTAAGAAAAAAGCATGTCTTGTAAGTGAAAAAATTTGGTAAATAAGCAATAATCAAATCGCCAAATTTCAGCATAAACTTAACACCCTATGAACCACTAGCAAATGGAAATGTATCAGAAGACCAGACCTGATAGAGAATCTTTTGGACATAAAACTATTCAATACCAAACTGAAAGCCTTTAGCTTTGGTTTAAAATTTGCTAGTAGGATTCATAAAGGAGACCTAGTTGATACAATAGTTAAAAGTCAGACAAAATGACACAGAATTTACTAAAGGCTTCATTCAAGGAATAATTATTGCCACTCTAAAAACAAACAATCCCTATCAGTGAAGCCAATTAGGTGACTGCCTAGGCTTACTTGAGCCTGGCCATTGCCTTACATTTATCTTGGAAGATGCACACATATTTTTCAGGATATTTTTTTAGGAAAAAAGTAAGTCTTGTAAGCCGGAAAATATGGTGCCGTTATTTATTATGTCCATTGAGAATAATCAAAAATTCCACTCTATTGTGTATTATTTCTTTGCATTCTGAAATAACAATCGGATTTAGTAATATAATTTTGATGACTTTATTCCATTGATGCCAGTTACTCTTTCCAGTGGGTGTAAAAGTTTAGTTAAAATTGTATTTTATTTAATTTCAATAAATTTCAAACGTAACTTTTCAATAATAATATAATTTGTAATGTTTTCTTCTGACATAAAATGTAATGATTAAAATAGTAATTATTAAATATTTAATTAATAAATTAGTAATAATTAAATATAATGATTAAAATAGTAATGATTAAAATGATTAAGCTAGAAAATAGCTGCTAAGAAAGTTGGTTCACTCTGTCATTCTAAACAATTTTTCTCACCAGAATCTATTATAAGTTTACTATTCATCCAGGCAGTGAATATTGCTGTCACCTCTGGTGCTTCTGCAGTGCATTTAGAGATTCTGGATAAAATCCAAAAAAGATTCAGCAATATTATTGATCCTAACCTGGCATCTCGGCTTCAAACATTTTTCCACCATCGTAAAATTGCTTCCCTCTGCCTTTTCTATAAATGCTTTCATGGTAATTTTTCGGATGAGCTCTTCGGTACCTAGACTTTACAAATTTAAGTGCAGTACTAGATTGGTGACAAGGTCTCTTCAATTTACAGTCAGGTTGCCTAGTTGTAGCCGTAAATTCTATGCTAATAGTTTCTTTTCTCGCACTCCACGTTTGTGGAAATCTCTTTTAGCTTCATACTTTCCAGCCAACTTTGATATTCAAAAATTTAAATGCAATGTCAATCGCTATGTAGTGTCTTCTTGATTTCTCTTCTTTTATTCTTCATGCTCCTTAATTGTTAGGTCAGCTGCTAAGAAAGTTGGTTCACTCTGTCGTTCTAAACAATTTTTCTCACCAGAATCTATTATAAGTTTACTATTCATCCATGCAGTGAATATTGCTGTCACCTCTGGTGCTTCTGCAGTGCATTTAGAGATTCTTGATAAAATCCAAAGAACAATCAGCAATATTATTGGTCCTGATCTGGCATCCTAGCTTCAGCCACGGCCATAAAGTTTCTTCCCTATCCCTTTTCTGTAAATACTTTCATGGTAATTGTTCACATGAACATTTCTCTGTGGCCCCTTTTATTTCTGTTCCTTATTTTTCTTTAAGTTTAATTCCCCATCCCCTCCCTCGTTAGGTGGTCAGTGATGTCAGTTCACTGGTGGATGTGGAGCGCCTTTCGTTTTGCATGAGTGGTTTTTCATATTTCTTATTGTGTCTAAATGAGTGCATGTCAGTGTGAGTGCTTGGGATGAATGAATGTTTTATACTATTATAATCCCGCATTGATTTCAGCCAGTGAACCGAAGTTTCTGCCACATTTAGTGATGGGGGGGGGGGGGTATTACTAATTTTATTTTCTTTAGTTTCTTGTAAATAGTTTTTGTATTCATATTGTAAATACTCATTGGGGTTAGTTTTTAGAATTGTTGTTTTATTCCCCCCCCCACAGACAATGAATTGTAAATATGGGGACTAGTTAGTATTTTCATAAGAGACAATGAGGTATTATGGTGGTTGTAGTAAGAAAGGTACATATGAATATGTTATTTTGGTGTAAGCAATATTGTTCATACAATTGGGTCAGCATTTGCGGCTAGCTAAGTTATAGTTAAGACAGAAGACCATCCTTTCCCCAATCCCCTTTTCAACCATGTGCCACATTTCTGTATGAAACAGAATAAATATCACTTTTCTCTATGGTATCTAGACTTTATGAAGTTAAGTGCAGTACTAGATTAACAACAAGGTCCCATCGATTTACAGTTGAATTGACTAGATGTAACTATAACTTCTATGCTAACAGTTTTTTTTTTCTCGCACTTCTCACTTGTGGAACTCACTTCTGACTCCATGCTTTCCAGCCAACTTTGATCTTCAAAAATTTAAATGCAATGTCAATCACTATGTAATGTCTTCTTGATTTCTCTTCTTTTATTCTTCATGCTCCTTAATTGTTAGGTCAGCTGCTAAAAAAGTTGTGTCGTTCTAGAAATATTTCTCACCAGAATCTATCTTACACATTTATAAGTTTACCTTTCATCCATACATTGAATATTACTGCCACATATGGTCTGGTGCTTCTGCTAGAGATTCTTGATAAGATCCAAAGAATCTGCAATGTTATTGATCCTGACCTGTCATCTCGGCTTCAGTCTCTTCCCCATCATAATGTAGCTTTCATAGTAACTTTTCTGATGAGCTTTCCTCTTTAGTACTGTGTAAAATATCCTGATTATATCCTCTGTCTTATCACTTGTTTAAAAAAGTCAAGCTGTCTTAGCCAAAATGGCAAGACTCTACAGTTACATTCAATAAAGGCATATTCGGTGGAGTGATGTATAGTAGCTCAGATTGAGGAATTCGAGAGCCAAGTTTGAATTCCATTCAAATCCATTACATTCACTTATGTACTAATACCCTTGGGAAAGGTATGAATCCTCTTCTTTCCCCACCCCCAGCTATGGGTAAATAGCAGGACAGAATGGATTCTATAGCTTTGGATGGCAGCTGGTCTACCGCAGAAAGAAATGGCAACCTACTGCGAGAAATAATCTGCCTCGTCAGTCATGTATCGAAAGATACATGATCGCCTAAGTGTGTATCGCACATGGCACATAACTGACTGACTGAAGCCAAACCAGACTCCAAGTTTTCATTTAAAGTACCTTGACTTTACAAATTAAAGTGCATTACTAGATTGGCAGTTAGGTCTCATCATTTTACAATTGAAATTGCTCGATCTAATCATAAATTTCTTCTCTTTCACTTCTTGCTTGTAATTCTTTGATCTTCAAAAATTTAAATGCAATTTTCAATCTGTCACCTTAATTCCTGTTTTTTTTATTATCCTCTCTCCTTAATAATGATTTTTCTCAGATAATTTCACTTCCAGTAACCCCTTGTGTCTTACTTGGGGTGAAATAGTTAAAAAGATTTTTCTATTTCAACTTTTCTTTTATGATTTGGTTCACTGTGTCGTTCTAGACAATTTTTACCTCCAGAATCTATCTTACATATTTATAAGTCTACCATTCATCCATGCCTTGAATATTGCTGCCATATAAGGTCTGGTGCTACTGCTATATATTTAGAGATTCTTGATAAAATCCAAAGAAGACTCAGCAATATTATTGGCCCTGACCTGGCATCTAAGGCTTCAGTCACTTGCCTACTGCCATAAATTCGCTTCCCCGTGCCTTTTCTATAAATATTTTCATGCTAATTGTTCAGATTAACTCTTCATTATGGTAACTAGACTTTATGAATTTAAGTGCAGTTCTAGATCAGCGGCAAGGTCTAATCAATTTAGAAATGAGTTGGCTAGATGTAAACGTAATTTCTTCGCTAACATTTTTATTACTCACTTGTGGAACTCTCTTCTGGTTCAATGCTTTCCTACCAACTTTGATCTTCAAAAATTTAATCGTTATCTTCTGTCTTCTTGATTCTTCTTCTTCATCATTTATGTGCTGTGTCCCTTCAGGATGTAGGTGATCACGGCCCTCCATATCTTCCTCTTCCTTGTAGCTCTTAATATTGCTACCATATATGGCCCAGTACTCCTGCTGTATATTTAGAGATTTGTGATAAAATCCAAAGCAGAATCAGCAATGTTATTGGTCCTGACCTGGTATATCACCTTCAGTCATTTTCCCACCATGATAATCTAGCTTCCCTGTGCCTTTTCTATAAATATATTCATAGTAATTGTTCAGATTAACTCTTCATTATGGTAACTAGACTTTAAGTGCTGTACAAGATCTAGGTACTGACCAAGCTCAACATTGCTTAACTTCAGTGATAAGATGAAAACTGAAGTTTCAATGTGATAAGCACATCTTCCATAAATATTATTATAGATACTTTGGCAATGTTTAACGTATGTGCCCACCAAAAAATTGTGTAACAAAAGGACGGCTTTTCTCTTGACACTGCTATTATTATTTTAACTACCTTCACTCCTCAGCAATGTTTATTATTTTAAAAAATGATGATTTGATTTTTAATAAAAACTAAACATATGAAAATGAATTTAAACATTTTCTTTGTTCCTGAGAATTTACAACAAAAATAATAAACACTATTTATTTATTAGATTGTTTATTGGAATGGTTGGCAAAACATCAGTGAATTGCTGATTGATTCAAACTTTATAAAATGGTAAATAATAAGGATTTCCTTAAAGTTGGTTCACATATTTTAATAAAAAATAAATGTTTATAAATTTATGAATAAAAAATTGTTTTCATATTTATTTCTTTATAAATTGGTAAATGATAAATATTGCATTGCGTTTGTTTCAATGCAATTGTATTAATATTTAGAATGTTGTAAATATAAAATTATTCTTGTAAATAAATGATTTAATAAACAAATAGTGTTTAATATTTTTGTTGTAAATTCTCAAGAACAAAAAAAATGTATAAATTCACTTTCATCAAATGTTTAGGTTTTATTCCAATTCTAATCATTGCTTTTTAAAACAATAAACATTGCCGAGGAGTAAAGGTAGTTAAAATATTAGTGGCATCAAGGGAAAAACAGTCCTTTTGAAACACTATTTTTTTTTTTGTGAGCATGAAGGTTAAACATTGCCAATACTTCTGTATTAATCAAATTAAAAAAAAAAAGATATAGGAACCAATATTTGAGAGTTGAGTAATAGGTAATTGCTTCAGTGGTCATCCTAGGTTGCATGAAATTTAGGTACTTGAACTTTGAACTTTTTGATGATCTGACATTTACAAAATATTTGTCTTTTAATCATATTGCTCTATGTGTGTGTGTTTCAGGCTGGGCAGAATTCCAAGGTCAGTGCTACAAATTCGTCAATGAGAAAGTCACTTGGAATGATGCTGAACTTGTATGCCGAGGATCTTATACAGCTCACTTGGCCAGTGTTTTGTCGCGGAAACATCATCGATGGATGGGGAATCTAAGTGGCAAAAATTCTTTCTGGATTGGTAAGTAGCAAGCAGGGTTAGTGTTATTAGCCTGTGCGACCATGTTTTATCAGCCTGTGTGAACATCTATGTGACCATGGAAAGTGATGTGGACATCACCACCCATGGTCACACAGATGTTAAATGTGATGATTAACTTTTGGGGTAGTAAATAAAAACACTCAATTCATGTCACACACAAATATGCACACAAACATACACATGCACAAAACTATGTGTGTGTGTGTGTGTGTGTGTGTGTGTGTGTGTGCATGTAAAATTTCAGAGACAGTGCAATCTCAGTTCTCAAATGCCTTACATGTCAAACAAATCGGTTTTCAAACAGAATATTCAAGATGAAAATACCTTGGTTATCAAAGGAAATTTTGTTTCTCGAACAACATTGCCGAACCAAGCTGAACCAATTTAACCTGAACAGTATCATTTCTTAGTCGACCACCCTCTTATACACATTCAAGTGTTGTGCTGTGCTTTTCTTTTCCAATTTTATTGTGCCATTTTTTTCTCTTCATTAGTCCTCAGTCATGGCTCCAAAGAAATCTAGCAGTGATATTGGTAAAGGAAAATGAAAAGTTAAGAGAAAAACAATAGTTGATGATATTGTCTCTTCCTATTCATTTTCATATGGCAAAATCAATGATCTATACTATTCTTATATATAAAGGGACGATCATGTCTTTCCTTCCCCTTTTCCAAGCAATAACATCTCTTACCTTCCCCTTCCACTTACGCCATAAACTTTCCTACATACAAGTACGGTAAAATTGAAATGTTCGTCTATATTTTATCAGTTTAATATTGGGTTTATTTTTTTCTTAAATTTAATAATTTTCATTAGTTTTGTGCATAAAATGGTTTTCAAAATTTTTAAAGTCTAAGAACACTCATAAATATTCTTCAGGCTAAGTGTCAGAGTCAAGATAAACAGTTCAGACCATGAAGATTGCATTCAAGCATAAAACAGACTGTCACTAGTCAATGTTTACCCAAGTGTTCACTTATATATTTTTTTAAAAATCAGATTTATCCCTATCAAAGCAATGAAACCACTAAGGCACTAAGGAGTTATTGAGTATGAAAGAATTAGAAAACAGAAACATTATTAAGAAGAGAGAACTACAGAAGAGTAATCTAGAAGACTGTAGATAACGATTGACATTACATTTAAATTTTTGAAGATCAAAATTGGCTGGAAAGCATAGGTCCGGAAGATAATTCCACATATGAGAGGTGTTAGAAAATAAAATTGTTTTTTTTTTCTATGTTTTGAACTACATTCTTGGTTTGCAGTACATATTTAAATATAAATTCTCCAATGTTTGGTTTTCTAAATACTTTTGTATTTCATATGTCATTATAAAAGACTTTTTTGATTTTTGTTCAATATCATTTTCATCATGTACAAATATGGCTTCTTTGTACCTTCATGTGAGAGTTGTGTTATTATTATTATAATTAACAAAATAAGTAAAACCACTAAGACACAAGGGGTTACTGGGTTTGAGGGAATTAGAAAACATAAACATAATGAAGGAACAAGAACAATAGAAGAGTAATAAGCAAGACAGTAGATAGCAATTGACATTGCATTTAAATTTTTGAAGATCAAAGTTAACTGGAATGCATGAAGCCAAAAGTTATTTCCATGAGCGAGAAGTGCAAGAAAAGAAACTGCTAACATAAAACTTACGGTTACATCTAGCCAACTGTAAATTTCATCATCATCTTGCGGCCTCAGCCGAGATTGAACTCACTACACCTTTCCAGTATTCCTTATCTGTCATAGCTAATACTTTGATTGGTGTAGTTCATAATCTTGTCAAATAGCTGAATTCTTGATGCTTCGCTAGGGCTATCAAGGGTGTTTTTTATCGTGACACCAACACTAAATGGATTGCCAACCAAGGCTCAGAGAGACTCCATTCACCCTCCGCAGGTTTTGAATTCAGAGTTTTCCTTCTCCTAGACCAGTTGCCATCCAAGGCTATAGAACCCAGTCTGTCCTGCTATTTACCCATAGCTGGAGGGAGAAGAAAGAGGATTCACACCTTTCCCAAGGGTGTTAGCACATAAGTGAATGTAATGGATTCGACTGGAATTCGAACTCGGCTCTCCAATTCGTCAGTCCAAGCCGCTATCCATTACTCCCCCGTGCCTCCTCTGTAAATTTATAAGACCTTGTTGTTAATCTAGTATTGCATTTAAAGTCACAAAGACTAGGTGCCTTAACAAAAGAGGTCATCCAAACAATTATCATGAAAGTATTTATAGAAAAGGCACAGGGAAGCATTTATGGTGGTGTGAAATGACCAAAGGCGAGATGCCAGGTCAAGGCCAATAACATTATTGATTCTTCTTTGGATTTTATCAAGAATCTCTAAATACATAGCAGGAGCACTGGACTATATGCGGTATATGTGACTAAATTCTAAGCATCAGTGAATGGCGGACTTAGATATGTAAGATAGACTCAAGAGAGAAAAATTGTCTAGCACAATACAGTGAAATGTGTGTGTGTGTGTGTGTGTGTGTGTGTGTGTGTGTGTGTGTGTGTGTGTGTGTGTGTGCATGTGTGTAAATGGACAGTATTGTATCTCTGATAAAAATGTCAATATGTATATTGGCTTTACTATGACAATGCTAACAAAAAGGCTTACATTTCATTTGGCTGAGCATAGTTCAATATCTCAGCATTTAAAGCAACACTCATGCCCATATACACAGATTAGATGGGTATTTGTTGAAAATACATTTATATTACATAAAAACAATAATAAGCAAAAACTAAAAATCCTTGAAGCCCTTTATATAAGAATTAAAGCCCAAAATAAATAAAGTCAACTATGAATATAGCAACAAAGTTCTTAAATGCTTATAAAAAAAATAGAAAAGTTACTTCCCTTATACTGGGGAGAAAAAAAAAGCATGTGCACTTTGAAATCTAGAACACTGCATAAGCAGTAAAAATGAACAGTTGAAATGTTTTGAATTTACAAAATCACATATACCTACTCACAGACAACTTAACCCCCTGAAGATGTTCTCAGTTGAGATTGAAAGAACTTGGGAAAATAAAAAATATTTGAAAGAAAATTTTGGTATTTTTCTTGATCAATTTTCTAAAGCAACCAAGAAATTAATCCACAAGCTTGAAACAATCACAACAAAAACTAATCGGCATAAGTCAAAAATATTTAACCAAACCTGTTTGAATATATATATATATATATATATATATATATATAGTTTATGAAAAACTAGGTAATCCGTATGGGTAAACTCAAGGAGGATAAAATCCAGAGAGCTCAATGTAAATCCAGAGCAAATAATTTAAATAAAAACAGACCACTTTAAGGTTCCATGTAATAAATTATTTCACCACAGCCCTTTTAAAGGACTGCGAATCATCAGACTTTAATTCCAAAGGTTGAAACAAAAATGAAAAGAAATTTACACATTTTTGACGGGCCATATTAAACATATGTAAATTAACGAAGTGAGGAAGTGAGGGGGGAGAGAGAATACATAAGTGAGTTAGATCTAATTTAAAATTTCTATACTTTCATACTCAAAATTATTTGAGGAGGTCCAGACATTGGCACATTTAATTTATATATATATATATATATATATATATATATGAAGAAAAATTTGGAAAAAACAAACAAAAATCCTTAAATGCAATTATGTTGTTTAAAATGAATGAAATGTCGACATCTGACAAATTTTTCTTCATTCTGTCGGATCTATATCCATTTACATTTGCTTACATATATATATATATATATATATATATATATATATATATTCGTTCATTCAATCTAATTATTTATACTATTATTTTTATTTAATGTTCTATTTCTTCACTTTTTCTTCAGGTTTGAATGACAAGTCAGACACTGGTAACTGGGTCTACATGACAGGGGACCCAGTGCGCTACACAAAGTGGAGACAAGGCAGACCCCGGATCAAAAGAACTGCCCACAAAAAAAACTGTGTTCTTGTGAACAGGAGACTCAAGTGGGCCAACAAAAAGTGCGACCGACCAAAAGCAAAGTTCATTTGCCAAAAGGCAGCACTGCCAAAACACATGTATCGAAATCTACCTTCTCACTACAGAATGAGGCAACGTCGATATTTCAGCATACATTAATGCTCGGTGTATGCCTAAAAGATGTTAGAGCTTACCCGCGAGTTATTTTTTGTGGGCATTGGGTGACTAGAAGCTTTCTACTTCTCCCACCTGTATTAAAAAAAAAAAAAATAAATAAACGAATGAATAAAAAAAATTAAAGACATGAAAACACAGTAAAAAGTAAAGAAAATATATATGTGTGACTTTGTCTTAAAACAACCCCCTGCCAAACAGATCTTTCCGGTTCTCCTGTCCTGGTTGAAAGTTTAAGGATAAAGAAAAAAGATAAATTAAAAAAAAAAAAAAAGCAAAGTAAAAGGCTAGATAAGCCATTTTTGATACCCAGCACAAAATTACTATTTTCCAAAGAAGTGATACTGATATTTGTGGCAATTTATAAAAATTTGTGGCAATTTAAAAAATGGCACAAATTTATCAAAACTGTCTTTTTTTACTTTTTTTTTTTTTTTTCTTTTCAGGAGTTTACTTTGTCTTTTGATCGTTTCTGCTAGGGACATCAGAATATTTATGCGGGTATCTCAGCCTTCGTATAAGGAAGTATAGAGGATCCTTTTGGATTCCAAAACTGAGAAACGATTCGTTAGACTTTCACACGGAAAAGAGTACCCAAAAGATATATCTGGATTGGGGTGTTTTGAGACAAAGTCATACCTGAAAAAAAAAAAAAAAAAAAAAAAAAAAAAGGAAAAGATATATATATATATGAGCCACTTTTGAAAACTGACTCAGATAAAATTAAAAACAATGTAATTATTATGATTTTGTTTGTCGGAGAGAAATATTTGTCACTCAGATTTGTTGGTTTCTGACAACACTGTTTATACTTGTAAATAGAAGATCCTAAATTCAGAAATCCTCCCACTGAAGAAAAATTTTAAAAGAAAATAGAATAAGCAAAAAAAAAAATATGAAAAAAATAATGGACTGGAAAGCGAGACCTTTTGACTATTCTGTTCAATAAACTCAATATAACTGCGTGAAACCAGAATTTATATTCTCCATAAAAATAAAAGAAAGGATAGAAAAGAAATGAATGGGGGAACAGAAACAGATCCAAACATTTGATTGGCTTGAACAATGCAAATATAATGACAATGATGATTGATCATGAAACCAAATGGGATAATAATAACTTGGCTTAGATTGAAATAATTGCTGGTTGACTTCTTTCAGCATGAAAATGTGCTGTCAAACTTGATTTTACAAGAAAAAAAAAATATAACTGAGAGTGAACACAAAAGCTCTATAGTAACACTAACCTGTGCAAAATAAATAGGCACCAAATTTTGAACTGTAGATATGCCATATATCTGTTTTCATGGAAGATCTTTTTTTTTTTTTTTGTCTTTCTCAAGGTAGGATTGATGAAACAGATTTGAAAACAAAATATTAAAAAAAAAAAAAACACAAAAAACAACCACACAGAGGATAGGGATGCTGGACACATGTAAAAGGCCTGCATCCATTTTACATATTACTTGCATCATGGTTTTTTTATTTTTTTTATTCTTTTTTTTTTTTTTTTTTTTTTTTTGCTAGCTGCAAATTTTGGAACTTATGCATTATCAGTTAATTTTGTCCATTTATCCCTTTATTGCACCAGCAGCAACAAAAAAAACTATACAAAATAACCTAAAAACTAAAGAAAAAAAGAAAAAAAAATCACACATGCATGCAGATATACACACATACTCATATACATATACACACGCACACAAAGCAAAGGAAAACATTTAAATGTTCAGGATTTTGTTTCCTGCTATAATTGATGCATCGTTAATTAATTTCGATATCAATGAATGCAAAGTAAATGCTATTGTAAATTATTATAAGAACTTTTAAGGCAAAAACAAAATATTGAAAAAAAAAAAGGAAAAATGGGATAGATTTTGATTGTGCTTCATGATATCAATTTTTAGAAAAAGAAAAAAAATGCTGTATATTTTTTGAGAGCTAATCCAAAATTTTATTGCATAACAAAAAGTTTGAAAATCTAGTTTGAAAGTACACCAGGTGAAAATATTTGTATCAAAATGTTCTATAGGCATTTTTTGTTCATATATATATATATATATATATATATTCATACATGTTTCATTAAATAATATAGACAAGTGTTGTCTATTTATTTTATGTAAATTCTTTTCATAAGGTATGATAAGCTTAATAACATTATCATTAAACGAAGAAAGAAAATCACAATATTGATACATATTTTTTAATCCAATCTAAGCTTTCGGCTTACATAAGCCATTATCAAAGATGACAATTACTGTACAATATATTAAGCCATTGGGAAGAATTAAGTTGGATATACTAGATTTAGTGTAGTAATTGTCATCTTTGATAATGGCTTATGTAAGCCGAAAGCTTAGATTTGATTAAAAAATATGGATCAATATTGTGATTTTCTTTCTTCGTTTAATGATAATGTTATTAAACTTACCAGACGTCATGAAAAGAATTTACATAAAATAAATAGACAACACTTGTCTATATTATTTAATGAAACATGTATGAATGAAAAATGCTGCCTAAATACACACAATATATATATATATATATATATATATATATATATATATATATATATATATATATATATATTATTATTATTATTATTATTATTATTACTTAAACGTTATTTTTAGTACATACCCATATTTGAGTAATTATTCTGTTCTGTTTGTTTATTAAACAGTATATTAATTAATTTTTTGTCTACTATGTTGAATATTCAAGAAATCTTATTAAAGAAAAAATATCTTCTCTTCGATTTAAACCTGTGTCCTACTGCATTTGTCTTGCCAAGAGGATGCACATTCGAATATTGCCAGGTTGCGTATATTTTCTTTAATAAGATTTCTTGCATATTCAGGTTGGTAGATGAAAATAAATAAATAAGTAAATAAATATACTGTCTAATAAATAAATGGTGCATCTACTCAAATATGGGTAACCACTAAAAATAACATTTAAATAATAAAATATATATATATATATATATATATATATATATATATATATATATAGTTGTATATTTTAATTTATCTATATTTTCTCTTTTTTGTAATGTATTGGTTAGAAAAGAAAATGATATGAAATGTTCTGTAAAAACATCAGGCTATTATACTTTTATACATATCTTTAGAGGAAATTAACAAAATAATAATAATAATGATAATAATAATGATAATAATAATGATAATAATAATGATGATGATAATAATATAGAAGGAAAGATGGAACCATTGAGACAATGGCCTTATTAAAAACAGATTAATAAAATGTCTGCTGGAAGGGTGTCAAGGATTACTGTCACTTAATCTTCACTGTAAATCAACAGTTACTACAGGCATGAACATTTAACAATAAGAACAACAATAATAATAATGACAATAAACACTAAGGAAACTATTGACCCTTTAATATATGTGTGCTCTACATTAGCCCCAAATGAATTTAAATATTAACATGATAGGGTATGAAAATACATTGGAAGATATGCCAACATTAAAACCATCCCCATGTAGAAAAATGGTATGACCAATACCAATGCTTGAAGGTGGAATTGTTACAGTGCTCTGGAACTTCGTCATATATACTAACAGCACTATACAACCCAATAGACTAGTTTTAATAATAAAAGATTTCAAAATCACACAGACATGTCTATTCTGTCTGTTAAAAATAAACACATCTCAGCTGAAGAATTTAACAAACTTTCAAGATATAAGGGTCCAGAAATAGAAATTGCAAGAATGTGACATTTAAACTTGTCCACTGTTCCAGTAATAGTAGGAGCACTAGGAATGATTAAAAAGAATACAGATACATCCATTAGGAAAATTCCAAGAAACACGTCACCATATGAAATAAAAACACTATGGTCCTTAATGCCACTCACTTATTCAGTAAAACTCTCTCAATTTAATATACGCAATAAATTTTAAAGAAAAACCTTCCTTTATCTCAGGGTCTTGTGTAAAAAAAAAAAAAAAAAACCTTGGTAAATGATTAACAGTAAATTAGGAAAAGTGGAGATAATATTAATAATTATTACTAAAATCAGTTTGATAGTGAGTAGGGTTCTAGAGCACTAAGGAAATGTGCATGAAAAAAACCGAACAGTTTGGTGTGAAAACTCAATGAATAATAATAATAATAATAATAATAAACAAAGAAAGAAAGAAAATCTTTTTAACTTTTCACTCTTACACTTTCTTTTGGAGTTACCTCTGTATAGAAAAAAAATCCTTTCAACCCAAACTCTCAAATACTATAATGTCATGTTTTTTTCCAAGATTTCTTCTTTTGTATTGGTCACTATTAACTCTGAATCTTTCTTTTAAATTAAATTTCATTAATTACAAAAGTTTTTTTTTTTTTTAATCTAAATTTCTATTCATAATGATCACCTGAAAATTATGAACATTGGATTCAAATTCATTTTGCTTAGGATTCATGAATAATAAGCATATAATATGTAAATACGAATGGGAAAACTGCTTCCCTATGTGGTGCTGACCCACGTACAGAACTAGATTCATGGTTATATATATATATATATATATACATACATATATATATATATATATATATATATATATATATATATATATATATATATATATATATATTAGAATGGATTTTTTATTAATCCGACAGATTTTTTATCACTTTAAACATTATTTTCAGTGGATACTCATATTTGAGTTAGATGCTCCACTTATGTATTAAACAGCATATTTATTTATTTCCACCTCAGACCTAAAAATTCGAGAAATCCTATTAAAGAAAAATTGCATTCTTTCCTTTAATATTATTTCTTGACCTTTCAGGCCAGTAGATAAAAATAAAAAAATATAGTGTTTAATAAATAAATGTAGAGCCTACTCAAATATGAGTATCCACCAAAATAATGTTTAAAGTGATAAATATATATATATATATATATATATATATATATATATATATATATAATTTATTTAAAATGTTTTTCTTTTCTTTTTTTTCAAGAAAAGAAAGTGGAGGTTTAAAATAAGTGATTGAACAGTAACTAACAAATAGAACAGAAGTAATTTTAATTGATATTTATTTTTTAAAAGATTGCTTAATCGAAGACATTTCCACACACCCAAATCTCAAGGCTGTTTCTTAATTTACACTAATTACATAAAATTCATACAAGTCCCAAAACTCTACAGCTTTTAGAAACTGCTCAATTAAATTTTCAGGTAATGTCTCATTTTTCCACAATGTTTAATTACTACCAAAATAACCATTTACAGGGTTGTCTGCATATCTCTGTTTATATGCGTACTATAAATTATTATCAACAAAAAAAAACATTTTAATACTATTTAACAATGTGCTGGAATTTATTTATCTCGGAAATTGCTTTTAACCTACAGTGAAATAAATATACAAATTTGAGAATAAAAAGGTTGTCTGCATGGCATGAAAATTATTTTTGTACTGCCTATGATACAGATGCCACTTTCAGAGGAAAGGAAGAACACTTTACATTTTCAGAGTATCAA